ACAGTTTTGATGTGACAACTTGATAAGGGCTTCCGCAAAGGCCTCCCCTACCCGCTCTCTAGGCAGTAAGATAATGGTGGGGTGTGTCCCCCCAGTAGGTTTCAGATCTTGGCTACAAAGGCCCTCCTTCCTTCTGTTTTCTTCCTCCAGCTCAGCGTGCCCACAGGTTCCCGGAGACTCTTGGCAGCTTGCTCTCAGGCAGAATGGAGCTGTGAGCTGTGTGGGAGGCAGTTAGACAGCAAAAGTGTTGCAGCCTCCTTAATGAGGGACAATAGCTCTCCTTGGAACCATTAAGTCACAGCTACAAAGATGGGGAACGCCAATTAGAAAGGAGTGGGAGCAGTAATGAGGAGGGCCTGAGGGACACTTATAGGACAGATCCTTATCTTTGGTGGTTCTGTGGGGCCCATGGGTGAGGATGTATCTGCTCAGGTTTGGGATCTCATCTCCTTCTTAAGGTTAGACGTACCAAGGTCTGTTTGTAGATCCAACCCATATGAGTGATCCTTTAAAATACACCACTTGTAAGGAGGAAAAGTTATTGGACAGAAGGGTTTCTCCCTAGGTCTGTAGCTCAGATATTATAATCCAAAAGTAAGAAAGAAAATGATAAGATGCTTATTTAATTTTAATGAACAGCCTTTTTAGGTTTTGCTATATTATGTATGTGTTTGAGTATAGATATTTGTATATAACCAATAGTGCTCTTTTTTTGATAGCTCAACTGAATCACATTGTGTTTACAGCAAGATAATAATCCTGGATTTTCCATGGCTCACTCTGTCAGAGTATAAGATTAGCTCTTGAATTCATTAACAGTCATCTCCTTTTAAATGTCAGATAACTTTTTAAATGCCAAGTACTTGCGCAATGCCTTCTTCTGTACAACTCAAGTCAGCTTTACCAAATTAACTCATTAATCTTTATTGTTTCATTTACTAAAGAGAAAGACTTCCAGGTGTTTTTAACAGAACATAAAAATGTTAAAGTATTTACAATACAGCATAGGTGAAAGGATGGGTTTTGATTTTCTGCTAAATATTTCACCCTTCCATCAGTTTTTTAATCATTCCCACCAAAGTGTGCACATAAAAGAAACAAAATAGTTTCCAGCATCTCTGCTTTCTTCCACTTCCCCCACTTTCCTTCCCTTTTTTATTTATCCTTGTGTTTTCTTCTCCCTCCTCCACCTTTACAGACCTTGACTCGTGATTACTATTTGTTCTCCTATCTTTGCGGTCAACATACCCAAGAGCAGCAAGTGCCAGTTTTGATTGTTGTATCACTCAGAAAGCAGAGGAATACCTCTCAGGCTGAGGATGGAGCAGGAAGCCCGGGCAGACAGGGCTAGAAAGTAGGAATTCTACTTTCCTTTTCAAAGATCCCCTGCCTGGGTTTACCTCCAAATAATCAGACCTCAGAGATAGTAGTTACCCTGACGGCCAAAGATAGATCCATCTGGGGGTGGCGCCAACTTGTCATCCAGGTCTCTGATCAGATGTCACCTCCTCAGAGAAGCCTTCCCTGACCACACAATGCAAGTCACCAACATCACCACCACCAGCCCCAAATCCTGTCACCATCGCGTTGTATTCGCAGACTAATCACTATCTAAAATTATCCTGCTTTTTTGTGTGCTTGTTTATCTGACATATAATAGGCACTTAAGAAATATCCATTTAATGAATAAATGAAAAACAACCAAGTGTATGACTCTCCTGGTTTCAACTTTCTGATTTTCTTCCTCTTATCATGCCTCTCAGACTCCTCTTTTTATGTTTAATGTTTTCTTTCCTCTCATCTGCCAAGCCCACTTTCACCATCATTTATTTGTTAGAACACTTGAATGTAATAAGCAAAAACAGGACTTCACATTCCAGTGGCTATAGAGCCTTCACTGGAAACTTTCCATCAAGCTAGAATTGATGGTTCCTAAACATTAGGGAGATGAGCCGAGCAGTCAAGAGAAGTGGGGCTGCGTCTGTGGCTCAAAGGAGTAAGGTGCTGGCCCCATATGCCGGAGGTGGTGGGTTCAAACCCAGCCCCAGCCAAAAAAAAAAAAAAAAGAGAGAGAATTGTTTCATCAAAAGATTTATAGGTCAAGTGGCTTGAAGGGTCTTTTCTCAAACCGTCTCAACATCCTACTCTTCAATCTGAGCCCCACATAAGGAGTTAAAGCAATTCCAGCTATTGGAATTGGCCTTGGCTACACCTTTTGTCCTCTGGCCTAATAGGAAATCTTCTCCTGGGGATAATGGAGAAATTTCCTTCAAATCAGTATTGTCTGATTTCTATTATTCCATCCAGTGATTCATGCCTGATTGTGGAGGCTAGAAAGCTTGAAATGCTTTGTCTGATTCTAGCTTGGACCAAACGCTTTCATTTGATCTAGCGATGAGGAGGGACCATCTCCCTTTGAGAAGCTAGTCAGATATATAGCTGATGACAAAAAATTGGATATGTTCTTGTCCAGAAAAATCTCCATTTCTAGCCACATTTCAAAACAAAGGAAAAGGGTGTGGGTGTTCATTGGAATGATAGCTGCTTATGGGGACCCATTAACTGTTAATTCATCATTAATGCTTAAAAGAAATATAAATATTATGGGAGGGAGAGTTTACGACTGCCCAGAGAGACAGACGTCTGAGAGTCTCCTAGAAAATATGGAAATGATCAAATCCACACCCAGGGTGATCTCATGGCATATTAATGTATGTGACCCTAGCAAATTAGTCCCCAAAATAACTAATAACTTTCTCTTTGGGAATGAAAAACCCGTGTTACACAGAGGACAGGCCTCTGGAGGTCAACACATACTTCCAGTTAAAGATGTCTTCACTGTCCCTCCTCGTGTGAACTGCTATGGGCCATACATGTACCTTGCCACCCAGCCCCTTGATGTCATTCACTTGTGTGTTCATTACTCTTTTATTCAGCAAATATGTATCAGGTATATGTTGGTGTCCAGACCCTGAGCCAGATACTGCAATGACAATGGGAACAGGGAAGTTGTGGTTCCTGCCCACGTGTAGCTTCCAGTCTAGAGGGAGGAGAGATGGCTGCACAGACCTGAGCAATCACTGTGAGCGATGGTGGGAATGTTCCATGCTCTGGGAGGTCACAGGGCATGGAGGAGCCAGCCCTCACTGATGAGGAGGAGCCAGAAGAGAGAAGAGAGCTCCCAGGAAGGACTGAGCCTCAGTGAGGACCTCAATCCAGCAACTGAAGCGCCCTTTGCACCTGCTCTTCCCACAGTGGGGGAAACACCTCCTGCAGATGGCCCCCGGGAACCTTCCCTCACCCTCTTCAGAGTTTTGCTCAAACATCACTTTCTTGTGGGGCCTTCCTAAACTCCCCTGCTTAAAACTGGAGCTTCCATTTCCATCCCCAGCTACTCCCTAATCCTGTTTCTGTTTTGTTTTTCTATATATCATAAGTCACCTTCAGACATAACTGAGGCTGCTTCCCTGCTGTCCTCTCACCCCTCACAGTGCCACAGATAACCATGCACTTTCCCTGGGGACAGAGGCTTGTCTGCTGCACTGCTTCGTCACTCTGCCTGCCATAGAAAAGGCACCTAATAAATACTTGTTGAGTGACAGAGTGAGGCAGGATGGGCCTTGTAAACTGTGTTAAGTCAGTAAAGACAACGGCCTTCAAAGGTTTTAGGCAAAAGGGTGATATAGTCTAGTTTGCATCTTGCAGAGATCCCCCAGGTTGCGGTGGATCTGGGGCTAGAGGGCAATGTTAGCTCCAACTTTGTAGTGCTCCAAAACCTGACCCCTTTGCATGTTGTAATGGCCCAAAAGCTTGGGGAGCCTCCAGGGCCTCCCAGATTCCTCTGTCACCCCTTCCCTCTCTGTTACATTTCTTCAAATCACTCTTCCTAACACATCATATATGCTTTCAGCTTGGAAATAAGCTGGAATCTTGCTATAACCACTTGGGTACAAGGCAGACTTGATAACCATTCATGGAAGCTATACAGGTATCAAAAAGATCTCATTGAAAGGCCAGGCTCATCCCTGTAATCCTAGCATTCTGGGATACCAAAGCCTGTGGATTGCTTGAGCTAAGGAGTTTGAGACCAGTCTGAGCAAGAGTGAGACCTCATCTCTAAAAATAGCCAACTGAGCAGTGCCTGTGGTTCAGTGGGTCAGGTAACAGCTCCATATACTGAGGGTGGCAGGTTGGAACCCAGCCCCAGCCAGCTAAAACAGCCGTGACAACTGCAACAAAAAATAGCTGGGCGTTGTGGTGGGCACCTGTAGTCCCAGCTACTCGGGAGGATGAGGCAAGAGAATCGCCTAAGCCCAAGAGTTGGAGGTTGCTGTGAGCTGTGACACCACAGCACTCTACCAAAGGCGACAAAGTGAGACTCTGTCTCAAAAATAATAATAATAATAATTAATTAAAAAACAATAAAAATAGCCAGGCATTGTGGTGATGCCTGTAGTCCCAGCTACTTCAGCTCCTAGGGAGGCTGAGGCAAGAGGATCTCTTGAGCCCAAGAGTATTTGGTTGCTGTAAGCCATGATGCCATTGCACTCCACCCAGGACGTGAAACAATGTGTCAAAAAAAAAAAAAATCTCATTGAAAAAGAAGTCTTGAGCAAATGGTGATTTCAGCTCCACCATATGCCCCATGAATGGCTTTGGGCAAGTTGTTAATCCTTCCAGAGCCTCTCAGTTTGCACATCTGTGAAATGGGAGGAACAATACCTGGCCTCACAGAGTTACTATGAGGGATAAATGAAATAATTACAATGCTGGGACCTAGGAGGGTCCCTTTTTCCACTGCCCCAGGTATTAATTAATAACTAATCTCAGATTATTCTCTCAATACATGGATCCCATGTTTCTTCAATGGTAAAAATTGTTACTATTACTGTCCCAATGATTAAAAATTGCTTTCTATAAATATTTGGGGATTTGTACTAACATTTGTAGCACCGTGTATCATTCCTGTAAAAGTTTAGGCTTTCTGCTTCTCTTCACAGGGAGCCCAGCAGTCCTTGGAGGCAGCAGCTCAGAAGACAGGAGAGCCTCAAAGTTGTATAAATAAAAAGCTGATATGTTCAAATGGAAAAGAATTTTACCCGCGAAAGCTGCACATCGACATGACGCCGTTCCTGAAGGTGATATCACGCTGAGAAGACGAGGGGTTTTATAGACACATACACAGGAATTCTAGTTAATATACTTCTGCATGGTACAAAAACAGCTTCAGAAGTCCCTCAGAGCTCCTGCATTATCAGAAGGGATAGAAAATAGGCAGTTTGTAGCAGATGAAGAAAGAACAAATTAGGACAGTAATCACAGCCAGCAATCGGGGACAAACCAGTTGGGTGTCTGGTTTGGGTGGTAGGAGGCAGGAAACAGAGAGGAGAAAGAATAACTTTAAACCAACTCAGAAAACAGGCAAATATAATTCATTTTATCTTCACAGCAGCTAAAATAATTATTGCTGCTTTATCACTATAACTTGGTAGAGTAGATATTCCTACTTAGAGAAGATTGATTCTTGAGCTATAACTATTTAGAAGTTAACTGCAGATTGTGTTCTGGATATCTGGCCTTCTCTTCTGTTCTCTGAGAGTTCATTGATCTCCCAAGCTCAGCTTCACTTCTAGTTAAGGGTACTGAGAGTTCCTGTAGTGAGGATGGCATTTGTCCATCTTTGCGATACTCCTTCCCACAACACCTGGCACATGGAAGGTGCTCATTAAATGCTCTGTGCATTGACCTATCCTTTTCAGCCCACAGCCTTCTAGTTTTAAGGCCTTTTCCCCACCCATTCTTTGCCCTATTCAGAGCTTACTGAACTAAAAATAAATGGCCATGGAACCAATCCTTTCATACTACCTTAGAGACAATATCCCAGACCCTTGATAAAAAATGACTCAGAAAGGCAGAAAAGGGGGAGAAGAGAACAAATACTTGCAGAGTTCAAGTGATGGTGCTCTCTAGTACTGTTGACTGGCAGGGTCTTTGGAGGTCATGAGGTTCACCCTCCTTATTAGCTAATCCAAAGGTCTCAGCACTGTCTCTGGGCTGCCCCATACAAGTTCTGAGGGTGGAGCCTTGATTAAGTCATACATTTGCCCAAAATCTGTCTCTGTCCCTGACTGGGCTCTACTTTCCTGGGCTGCTTCTTAGACAGGGTCTTCCCCAGTGGTGGCAAGCTGGCCACTAGCTTCTCTTTCCCCAGTCATTCCAAAAGTGAATACAACCAACCTGAGTCACTTGTCCCTGCCATTGATCCACCCTGGAGCCACTGGGACTGAGAATGGAGAGAAGAAAGGTGTCTGACAAAGAAGAGCCAGGCATGGTGGCAGGTGTCCATTGTCCCAGCTACTTGGAAGGCTGAGGCAAGAGGATCACTTGAGACTGTAATGTGCTATATTCCTGCCTGTGAATAGACACTGCACTCCAGACTGGGCATTAAAGTAAGACCCCTTCTCTATAGGAAAAATAAAGAACTACAAGAAGGGAGAATGATTCTGGAAAGCAAAACAAGATGTTAGGTAGGCAAAAAGTATTGTCATGGGCCAGCAGCAGGTGGATTGACTGAGCTCAGGCAGGTGGATTGACTGAGCTCAGGTGAGCAAGAGTGAGACCCCCATCTCTAAAAACAAAATAGCCGGGAGTTGTGTTGGGCAACTGTAGTCCCATCTACTTGGGAGGCTGAGGTAAAAGGATCGCTTGAGCTCAAGAGTTGGAGATTGCTGTGAGCTGTGACAACACGGCACTCTTCCCAGGATGACATACTTCATTAGTCACATTAGTGAAACTATCTCTTTATTCTTAGCAATAGTCTTGTTCTTTCCCTAGGGCTTGAAGGGTTGGTACTCTCTGGGAAGAGAGATTGTCTTCATAATCACTATTCATTCACTTAACCAATATCTGAGCACCTGCAACCTGCCATGTAATCAGTATTTTCAGGGCATTCAGGATTTATCAACGAACAAAACAAATCAAGATCCCTTCCCTCCTCCAGGATAAGGCAGGAAATAGAAAATAAACATAAACAAGCAAAGTAGCCTGTTGAAAGGTGATAATTACTAAGGAAATGAAATAAGAATACACATGTATTTACAATAAGTGTTGTATATTTAGTGCCCAAGATGCCTTTGTGTTACATTTTTTGGTAGTTGTTCAGTAATTCTGGCATGGCACTGTGGAAGGAAAAGTGTTGTCATCCCTAAGGCCCACATTTCAGTCTACCCTCTTCAAGACTCACAGAAATAGTAACTCAACTTACCTCCACAGGACTCCTAGAGCATATACTTGGCTTTCTGACTCCCAAAAGACTATACCGCCTCTTGGAATTATTCAGAGTTAACAGCTCTCTCTAGATCAGTGGTTCTCAACCTTCCTAATGCTGCAGCCCTTTAAAACAGTTCCTGTGGGTCACAACCCACAGGTTGAGAACTGCTGCTCTAGACAGACCTTCTCCTTGTTGACATGATAGCTCCCAGATTCTTAGGGATTGCCTAAGTAAGACACAGTACCAGGGTAGTATAGATAAAAGTATTCAAACAGAGAAAACCACATAGGCTGTCCTCCACATCTGGGCTGTACAGAAACTAACTCATTCTGTATATTCATTTGCATATTTCCTACCCGTCCACAGGGCATTTCATGGATTTTTGCCTGGTAGATGTGGGAAGCATTGCACATTACATGGGATGAGGGTAGGAGGTAAGAAAGATGAAGGCAAAAAAAGAGAATGCAGAGAGATGCTAACAATCACAATTGTTAATGTGGCTGGGCACTCATTCTGCACCTGGCTTTGTTTCAAGTTTTATATACATGCACTTATTTGATTCACAAAATGAATCTAAGCAGGTAGAATTCTCTCATTTTAGAGATGAGAAGACTAAGGCTTTGAGAGGTTAAATAACTTCCTGAACATCATACAGTTGGTGAATGACAGAAACAAGATTCAAAGTGAGGCAGCCGGCTTGGCACCTGTGGCTCAAGTGGTTAAGGCGCCAGCCACATACACCTAAGGCGGCGGGTTCGTCCAGCCCCGGCCCGTGAAAACAACAATAATGGCTGCAACCAAAAAATGGCCGGGCGTTGTGGTGGGTGCCTGTAGTCCCAGCTACTTGGGAGGCAGAGGCAGGAGACTCGCTTGAGCCCAGGAGTTGGAGGTTGCTGTGAGC